CTCCTGGAGCTTGCCACTATTTATTGAACGCAAGCTTCTTGAGGGGGCGAGGGGCAGTGCAAGGAACAGTGTGGAGTGGAGGGCACTGATGAGAGCAGGGTCCTAGCAGCAAGGGAACGAGACATTCTAGCAGGAACAGCTAATTAATGGGAAATGCGTTCTTTCCCGTATATTAATTTCTGCCTCTATAGGGGTTTTATGTACAAGCCATGCTGCCCCTGGCTGCTCTACTGTTTTGCCATCCAAGATACTACAGCATCAGGAATCATTGAGACCTCTGCTGTAACCAGTGGTGTGGGGAGTTGTTCCTTTCCACGCACCAGCTGCTGGCTCTTCAGGCAAGCTATTGTGGGCTAATAGGCAGCTCCAGACTTTTAATAAGAAAAGCTAATTTATGAATTTGTAGCTCACTCAGTGTGGTCACCATCACTTATTTTTAAAAAATTACTTGTGTTAGTACATGTTAACAGTACATGATGTTTACGTTCCTTGTGGTGCACGCACACAACACATCTCAATTCCTTTTGTCAACCCCTCTCCTCCCCTCCCTTCCCTCTCCCTCCATCTTGTGATTCCTTCCCATTTGAGAAAGACTCATCTCCCTACTTCCTATTATTTATTTTGCTCTTTATTTATCTTTTTGATTTCTCATATAAGAGAAACCATGTGATATTGAAGCTTAAAGTATTTGATTTACTTCACCTAACATGGACCCAAGTTTGTCTTTATGGCAGAATAATATTCCAGCTGTTGTAAGGGAGGACAGCCTCTATCTCATGAAAATCTCTCTCTGTTTTAATTTGGTCCCCTTCATATTCTTGGCCAAAAGTTTATCACATTCATAGCCTCCTCTTTTTTAAAAAAAAAAAATTCTGCTTTGTTTGTTTAAGACAGGCTAGCACTATGCACGTGTAAGTTCAGCCTGGCCTTGAGCTCACTATTAGGCCTGTGCCAGCCTCAAATTCAAGGCAATCCTACATCAGCCTCCTGAGTGCTGGGACTATAGGTACACGCCACTTCCACTGGCCTTTTCCCTTATTTTCTCAGTATGCTGTATCTTCAGACCAATGCACAGCAATAAAGTTACAGGACACATCGGGTGAGAAGAAGTTGGATTTCTGGTGCTTTGGTCCTGGGTTTCTTACTTTATCATTTAAGAGCTTTGTGAAAACATATTGGAGGACAGCATCTTCTTCAGAGAGTCTGGAAAGTTTATGAATTCTGCCAGCTCTTTTCTCTCTCTTTCTCTTTCTTTTTTTGGGAGGGGTACAGGGATCGAACTTGGGCCCTTGTGCTTTTGAGGCAGGTGGTGGAACCACTAAGCCAAATCCCTAACCATCTCTCTTGAATGGAACCTAAAGTTATAACTTCAGCCTTTTATTTTTCATTTTTGAGACAAGTTCACTAAGTTGCCCAAGGTGGGCTCCAACTTACAATCCTCCTGCCTCAGCCTCCAAGAGTTCTGGATTTACAGGTGTGTGTCGCTATGCCCGGCTCTATTAGGCCCTGAGTGACAAGGTACAGTAGTATCCACAGGTCCAAGAAAATTTTTCTGTCCAGTTTTCACAATAACTGAGTTCAGAATGCTTGCATTGTCATCCATTCCAGCAGATCTGTGCTTTCCCCCTCCATTTCCCCTTGCTCTGTAACAATATCAACACCTTGTATACCTTGTGGCAGTGGCCCTGGCCAAGGGTCAAGTGCTCCCACTTCACAGGGCTTCACTATCATTCCCACCACCTATGTGGACCCCTCCAAATGTCACCAGAAACCGCTGTGGCCTTCACTGCACAGAATTTTCGTTCTCCATGAGCTCTGCAGCCAGCAACTGGAAAGGACGCACTCACCTTCGTCTTAGTGTGGCTGATCACCTACACTGGCTCGTTGGTTCCTTTGGCTTTAGCTTCACACTCTTTGTGGATGAGGTGTTTTAAGGATGATTTTATCGAATCCCTTCTTCAGGGACCCACACTAAGGCACCCATGAGTGAACCTTGGTTGTCTTTGTTCAGCCCTTGCAGAATGGAGGGAGACATGCACACCTTCCTTTGGGAGGCAGTCATGGAGTGGTTGCCTTTTCAAGGTCAGCTTTTGGCTCAAATTGTGACCCCAATGAGAGCACTAAGGACTGGATGAGAATTTGTCTCTATCACTTGCTGGAACAGGCCTCATGCTTTAGTCACTCTTTTTGTCCTCGATATACAGTGCCCGACACCCACAATTTAAAGGAGGGGAGGTTTATTGTGGCTTATGATTTCAGCCCATTGTTGGCTGGCTTTAAGGCAGGATGGCATGACAGGGGAATAGCTGTTCATCTCCTGGTGTCCAGGAAGCAGAGAGTGCCAAGGGAGGAGTGGGGGACAGAGATATACCCTGCCAGATCTCACCCCAAGTGACCCACCTCTTCCAAACCAGGCCCTGCCTCCTAACAGTGCACTGAGTTGTAAATTTATCAATGGATTAATCTTCATTGATGGATTGTCCACTGATGACTCTAGCACCCCATGATCCAAGCACTTCCCTGAAGCCCCACTTTATGAGCACATGAGGCTGTAGGAGGCTATCTAGATATAAACTATGACCCCTCACCCTGTCATAGTCCCCTGTGGTTGTCTGAGTCAGCCCTGTGTGGTCCATTCGTAATCCATCTTCTTGCTGACTTATGATTCAGGACAAGTAACTACATCTTTCTCACTTTTTTTTTTCCTCTTCACAATAATAAAAAAGTCTAGGTCTTAATTCTTAGGGTTGTTTGGAAGAAGATAAATGCGAATTCTATCACATTTGGTAGAGTACTTAGAATGTGCTCAGTCCAGCTACTCATTTCATTACTGTCAGTAATTGTAAGAAGACCAGGCTATGTTGGGGCTGGCCAGGATCAACAGGATGATTACAGCTTCAGCGTTCTCAAAGTGACCCCACCTTTAGCCTGCACATCTTTATTGGCAGGTGAAACTGTTCCCAACACTGCCCATCTGTGTCACCACTTTGATCAAATCCAGGGTATATGTTCCTCAGATGCTTCCAAATTTGATATAAATCAACATAGGTTGAATAACTATAGTCAACATCTAGACACGTCCACATTGATCAGAACTCAGGCTTTATTACTGTGTCATGAAAAGACCTAACAGTAAATTCCAAACACTTGTAGTCAAAGTCTGCAATGCAGAGCAGGATATTATTTAGAAAACATTCAACATTGAAAGAAAAAAGATGTTTACTTGAAGGATGAGATAGATTTAGAATTGTTTGCTTCTGAAAAGCCCATTTCCCTCAAACCTAAAGTTTCAAATTCCATCTTGAGCAATGCAGTTATTTTATACAATCCCATTAAGCAATTTAATCGAAACAGCATTTGGCAGAATAACACATGGGGCATAGACATATGGCTCCAAAACAGTATTATTTAAATCCAACATTCAACTTCAAAGATAGGCTGCCCCCATAGACTTATAAATATATAATCATGGTTGAAAAAATACATAAGTATATAAAGAAAGTGAAATATAAACCTACCGTGTATACAGGAAAACAGTAAGGATGCAAAAGCCAAGGCAAAGTAGATGTTTACCCCCCATTTCCTTCTTTCACGTGATCTGTGCTCTTTCTCGGCCTTGGAAATATTTATCTAAGTTGGAAGTTGTAACATAACATTGAGAGGGAATTTGGTCAAATATCCTCCCTTGTCATGTTTATTTGGATCTTTTCAGGAACTTCCAAAGATAGCTGGATTGGGGGAACAGAAGCGAAGCAGAACCCCCTCAGACATTCATGTCCTAATAAGAGACAAGCCCCAGCCGAGGAGGCAGCGACTCAAGGCTGCTGGGCCAGCAAGGTAGATCATCAAGCAGGAGTAGATGGCGCATCAGGCTGAAATGTTTTGGGGCTATGTAGCACCTGGAATCTCTGACTTAGGAAATTCTCAGCAACCCAGTCGACACAGTCATGCCCTGCACGACCACATTTCAGTCAGTGTTAGGCTGCATATGTGATAAAATTAAAATGGAACTGAAAAGTTTCTATAGCCTAGTGATGGAGCGGTCCTCACCTCACTGCACATGCATGAAACCTCATCATTCATGTACTGCTGGTAATACTGGTGTAAACAAAGCTGCTGTACTGTCTGTTGTATAAAATGTAAAACAACTCAGTACAGTGCAACTGCTTGATAATGACGATGTTATGCATTGACTAGGTGCTGTGGTTTGAGGTGGTTTAATTATGCAATCCCATTGAGCGATTTAATCAAAGCCCCCAGGGTAGCAGGTTTGGGTTTTGGGAGGTAATGTGGACCTTCAAGAAGTGGGGCCTATAGGAAGTCCTTCGATCATTAGAGTCTTGCTGTTGAAGAGGATTGTGGGGTCCTGTTCTCTCCCCGCCCCCTCGCTCCCTCCACTCCCTCCCTAGCTCTGCTCTGGTTGGAAATTTGCTTCTACGTGTGCTGCAGCCATGATGTTCCACCATCTGTCACTCTCACCAGACTACAAGCCAGTGGGGTGCCCCAATCTTTTCTTTTTAATCTTTATTGAATCTACTGGTACATGTTAGGTGTACAACACAGTTACATCCATCATTGCGATCTTGTACTTTAAGTCATCAGAACTGTGAACTACATCGACTTCTCCTCACATGCAGCCCATGTCAGGTATTTTATTATAGTGACACAAAGCTGATGGACACACGATCCTGTGCCTTTTATTGCTGCCTTAGAGCGCATCCTATTTATAAAAATATATTGTCATACAGTCTGCCATATCACACCAGCAGACGCATCATACGTCTTGTGTCTCTGGATTGCATGTGGAGCAATTGACCTAGGCCAGCTAGGTTTGATAAGTATGCACAAGGATGTTTATACAACAGCAAAATTGACTTACAACATGGCAATGAAACTGCCTAATGACACATTTTTCAGGATATATCACTGTTGTCAACTGCACTAAACTTTGAAGAGAAAAATCTTCTAGATAGCTTAACCTTGCTTTTCTGGGTTGAAAAAACATATAGGGTGTTGTATACTTTAACACAGACTGGGTCTATCTGAGTGAGCAGGACAAGGAAAGAGAAAAAATAATTTGATAGCTCAATTCACAGAAGTCACTTTAGTAGTGTACATCGACCTAGTGCCTAGATTATTATTTTCTGATCCACTGTGTCCCATGAAGGCCAAAACCGCAATGGAATACAGGAACAAATTGTCCAATTCTGTTATATGGTTATGTGCATTGACACTTGTGTTACAATTTTGCGTTCAATAGTAACAATTTTGACTTACTCTTGGCAACCACCAGCTTATGAATCATGACTGATTGTGCTTGGAAGAAACACTGGAGAAGGGACTGTTAGGGGATGGTAAACTCGCATATGTACCTCTTGCTGCTACGGCAGACTTCATCACTCCATTTCCCCTGGGCCGATTGGGAGAACAGGACGCAGTTTTCCTTCTTGCCACCACTGGGCTGTGCACGGTCCCAGTTGAGGAAGGAGATGACCATTCCATTGACATCAAGAAACTTGCCTTCTGTGGCCATATCGTTGATGCCCAGCCAAAAGTCATTGACACCCGGCAGGCTCCTCTTACCATAGTCTCGGAGGGCGTTAATTTCGTCAGAGTTCCTGGGGACAACCAGGATCCCTCCCTTGGAAATACAGTCTTCATTGGCTTCATGGAAATGCTTCACGTCTTCTGAAGCAAGGTAGCATTTCTTGTGAAATTTTGTGCCTCGGAGACAGACTGTGGAGATGTGAAATTTGATATAGTAAGTTGTTCTTTGAGTGTAATATGCCCAGTACTAGACCTGGATAATGGTGATAAATATTTGTAGAATGAATGATGTGTGATGATGATAATGAGTTGATATTTATTAAATATTTTGTATGTGCCAAACCTTGGGCTAAGCATTGTACATGAGTGAAGATATATTAATCACGATAATATGATGCTGTGATTTTTTTTAAACCACCATTTATCAGGACATTAAGGGTTAGAGAAATGGCTACTCATAACAACTTCGCATGTCAAAACCATAACCTGCATATTGTGTAAAATCACATTTACAAAGGCCAAGTATGTCCCACCATTGAAACATAACATGGTCTAAAGTCCCATGGGCTGCTTTGATATACACCTGTGTCCTAGTTTATATAGCTCTACTATGTGCTGAATTTCCTTGCCATTTTTGGAATTGGACGGAATCTCATAATAATTAAAAAAAAAAACCAAGAAAGCAAAAATCTGAGTTTACATGTGGAGAAGCCATGTCTTTCTTAAGCAGACCTGGTAATGATGTTTAGGTTATCCAGAGTAAAACAAACATAAAACCAGTTTTGGGGCAAAGCGGTGGGAAGTGAGGCTCTAGAGGAATCATGCCTGGGTTTGGGTCTCCTCTCTGCATCTATTTGTTGTGTAAATCACATATATTTTATCTTATCAGTGAAATGAGGGAAATTATAATAGCATAAGTTATTGGAGGAGTCAATATTAGTAGTTGTTGGAGGATTAAAGTTTACAAAGTAGTTATAAGTATCAAAATATGCATAAAGGTTAATGAAATTCTTTCCCCTTTAGCATGAGCATTTGACCTTTCTTTAACTTTCTAGTTCTGTACCTCTGGACACCTGATAAGGAAAATCTGTCACCCATGTTACTAGGAGGCAATGCATATGGTAAAAGTGACCTTGGGTTGGTAACATCTAGCCCAGGAGTTATAAATACCTGATGGAAAGCTGTAACTTCACTCTTCTTTGAAGGTATTTCTTTGTATTAGGGTGGCCCTCTTGTGGGGACCCTCAGAACTCTGCCTCTGGGGTTGGCACGAGGGATACTGGTTCCTGGGGTTAGGAGTTAGGGCTGTTTAGGAACATCCTGGTTGTACTCTCATTTCCTTAACCCTGGAGAATAGTTGTGGGCAGCAGTATGCACAGCTACATGAGCTGGGGGTACTGGTGGTGTTCTGAGACTGAGAAACACTGGACATGGCCCTATTTGCTGGCAATATCTCGAACCCGTGTCCTGAGTGCCTTGAGCCTATCAAGTGTGTTGTAGGAGAATCCTGCGACCCTGTCTCAGTCGAATCTCAGTAGATCTCCAAATGGCACTTAGTAATCCAATAATTATTCCAATACATCCAATAAATATTACCTTTTAGCTTTTAATGTATGTCCTTTATTCTATTAGGGAATAATCCACTGACATTAAACATGCAGTCTTGAAGGGACTCTTTTTATTTCTCTACCACCCAACTATGGGAGAATAGGGTGGTAAATCAAGCTGATTTCCCAACAAATTATAATGTCCCAGCTTTTGGGTCCTTTCTCATGGACACATCGCTGGTTTGTTAATATTTCTCTTAAAAGAGGTACCGCCCACAACTCAGCATATAGATCAGGGTCATTTAACCCACTGGTGGTGTCCAGTGTCCTTTCTATGTCCTGCTGGAGGAGGCGTAGGCGGGGGTGGTGGGCGTCTCACCTGTCTGCAGGGCCTGTATCTCCTTCAGCGCGTTGACTTCTCTCCAGAGCTTTTCAACTTGTGACCTCAGGTCTCCATCTTTTTCTGGGAGGTATTTAAGAGTGGAGTGGGGTAGGTGGAACAGAAAGCAAACAATTAAAACTAAGTTAAAAATAAAGAGTTGGTTTATAGCATCCAAGGCTAGCGTGAAGCCAAGTGTATGTGAAAAATCATGCATGAAATAATTTAGGGAAGGAGACTTATGAAGGCTTTGTGGGGATCTCAGCACTGCAAGGTCCTCCTGTGAGGTGGAGCCTCTCTCTCCAGTTCCATCCTGTGGGGCCCCGCAGGCTCATGGACTGTCAGAAAATGAACAACCTTGGCCTAACCAAAATTCCAGAATGCGTGGGGACTCTCAACAGACTGGCAGCTTGTGAGCTCTCTGAAGGTGGGAATTAAATCATAATAAGCAGTAAAAGTAAAAATTATTAAAAGCCACCCTACACCTTCTGCCAACAGGTTAATTCTTTTAGCATTCCTACAAGATAGACGCTACCCTTAGCTCCACTTTGCAGAAGTGGAAACAGAGGCACCCAAAACTGAACTTGCCTACCGAAGGCCACCCAGCTAGAAAGGTGCAGAGCTAGATGTGAATTTCCCAAGCCTGTTCTCTTCCCATCCCTCCTGTCTTCTGCACAGTGATTGTCTCTACTTGCTTGGTCCCAGTGTGTGGCCTAGACAAAGCAGAGGCTAAAGCTTGATATGAACTGTCCCCAGATGTCTGCTTGTGGTGATTCCATATAGAGAATATTTTTTTTTTCTCCAGGATTTTTCTATAGTCTAAAATCTGAACACAACAATTCATTGTCCCCGCGGAATACTTCACAAACAAGGTGTTTACAAACCAGGTGTTTTTACATTGAAGTTAGGAAACTGCCTTCTGAGGTACTCAGGGTAGTGCTGCCTCTGTTTCATGTAATGCTGTGTATCATTTCCTAGTTCAGCTCAGAAATTCAATAACGCAAAGATCTTCTTGACAGGACCATTCAAAAAGGAATCAATAAAACTGTGCAGAAAGCACGACCATCAGGTGTTGGGGCCAGTCTTACATAGGCTGCTCAAACTTTCTTCTCAGATTTTAAGAATCACTTGGACAAATTATCACCACCACCACCAGCCCGCCCCCAGTCCAGTTTGGCTTCTGGCTCCCTGGTATGTCAATAAGCGGCCTCCCCTGGGAGACTGTAAACATCAGAATTAGCATGAAGACACACGAATTAGTATTAGGCCCCTGGGAGATCATTATGAAAGTCATTATCCAGGTGATTTGGCTTTCAGCTTCTATCCTTGGTTGTTAACATGGATGAACAAAGGGAATACATTGAACAACTATTTCACAGCAAAAGTTGTATTTTATTCATTAATGTAATACATAATTTGTTGAGATCTATGACGTGCCTGGGAAATCTTGTATGTGGAGCTAAATCACTCAGTTGCTATTTTGAGTCTCCTAACAGGTTCCTTTCTACTTTATAATTTTTGTTATCCAGAATTAGGCACCAGAGAGAAATGCAAATAAATTTTCTAGAAGAAATGACCCATGGAACCAGGATATGATGTTGAGTTGCCAGGTGTGTGGGAAAAGTCCCTCTTACACTCCTGGACATGGGGCCTGGACTGCTGTTATCATTTGACAAATAATTGGAGAGTCTAATTAACTCACAATTTTACATCTAAAACTGTGTCATAACATCCTAGAGTGGGTATTGATATAGGTATACAAAGCAATTCCTTGGAGATGTTGCAGCACAAAGAGATGTACTGGAAAGCACACAAAAAAAATTCACCAAGCCAGGCATGGTGGCACATGCCTGCAATCCTAGCCCTTAGCAGGCTGAGGACTGCTGTAAGTTCAAGGCCAGCCTGGGCTACATAGCAAAACTGTCTCAACAAACAAACAATCACCAACCGAGAACAGAGCAAGTCACAACCTGCCCAGACAATGGAATAGCACCAAGCTATTAAAAGGAATGAAATCTCTCTTATACTAGTAGCTGTCCAAGAGTCAGTAGATGAGATAAATTCATTTTCCTGCTAAACATTTTACCTAGCCAATATGGAACTCCAACTAACAGTTAATAGTAAATAATACTGTGACAAGGATTGAGGGAAGAAAGGTGGTGTTCACTTTTGATTTCACACACTTTGGTATTATTTCAAGGTACTTAAACATTATAAAAGTATGTAAGTTGAAAAAAACTGTCTAGAAAATGTAGGCATTACTTCGTGTCCTGTATAGTTTACTTTCCTGGGTTTGATGGCAAAGATAGTTTTGGAGAGGTGATATTTAAGATGCACATCCAATGGGTTTTTTAAAAAAAGTATGTGGGCTGTAGCAGTGGAGGGTGATTGTGTGTGTGATTGTGTGTGTGTGTGTGTGTGTGTGTGAGAGAGAGAGAGAGAGAGAGAGAAGGAGGGGAGAGGAAGAAAGGAGAGAGAGATGTAATCACATATTCCTGTTCCCTTCCTGCCTCCCTACTGAGAGGTCACCAGTTTGCCAATCCTCCCTGGTAGTGAAAGGCTGGCAAGAATAATATGCCACATCACCTAGTATTTTGTCTCTTCCTCTTCAGCAATATATTTTATCTACTCATGAGATGTATTTTAATCTTTTGTTAAAAGAGGGAACAGGGAAGTCAAATATTTTATAAGGAAAAGACTCCACTTAGGAAGCCTTGTATCAGACCCTAATTTTATAAACCAATGCCCCTCCTAAAGGGTCCTTAATAATCACCAGAACAAAACATGAGACAAGCTCCCCTGAAACCCTCCAGCCATCTGTGACATGTCAATCCTGGGCTGTAACCTCCTAGCTGGTATCCTTGGTGGGTTTTGTTTCTAGTGGAGTGAAATCAGTGAGGAAAGAGTGCCGTGATATTTACCTTGAAGCATTTTAATAGGGAAAAGACTCAGAGTTGAAATACAAGATCACCCTGTGTCTTGATGCTGTTTTCTTTTGATTTGGTGTCAGCATATTGCAAACACGCTACCCTCACCTCCATTCTTTGAAATTTAAAAAAAAAAAGTCTTAGTCCAGTTCAAACCACCCCAGGTTTGTAATTGCTTGGAGAGTCCATTTTGTGTCACAGTCTCTGAATGATTAACTGGTTTGCATATTCATATATTCTTGAGTTAAGGAGAAGTTTTTTTGTTTTTGTTTGTTTGTTTGTTTGTTTTTGGTACCGGGGATTGAACTCAGGTCCTTGCACTTGCAAGGCAGGCCACAAACCGCTGAGCTGAATCCCCGGCCCTTAAAGAGAAGTTTAATTCAGCTCTCTGTCACATGATTAGTTTAAATATGGTAGAGAGTGCCCTAAGACTGCTGGAGGTGCGCAAGTATACCCAAATAATAACCCGAGAAACAAAAGAAGTTACAAGTACCAGTAGCTTTATCCTCAGCTGCACATCTAGTAAGATCATAGTTATGTTACTATACATTTGAATGGAATCTCTGTGTCTGTGAGTGAGTGTACTTTGCTAGTCAGTATGTTCCCCTGGACACATCATTCATAACACCCGAGGTTCACACATCCAAATGAGTTCATGGAATGAGCTTCCATTTCTCCAAGCCCAATCGGACCAAAGATACACAATATAGAAATTTTCTACAGCACAAAAGTATCTTTTCCACGAGCCCACCATGTCATTTCTTTAACTGCCAGGCCATCCCAGAGAGTCTAAAGCTCACTCCAGCCCCACAAAGCTACATGCACACACAGCCTGGTGCTGTCACTCAGGGAGACAGGAACTCACCTTCCCAGTGCCTACCCACACCTACGAAGCCTGAAGTCGTGCTGGGCTGAGAAGTCCCCTTACCTTTCACACGGCGTTTGCTGTGTTTCCTGGCTTTTAATTTGGACGGGTGGCTGGTGGTCTGGTCCAGGAGCAAGCAGATAACCAGGATGCAAATGACAAGTCCATTCTTTGCCATGGCTCTTGGGCAGGCGAGCCGGCAGGGCCACTCTGGCAGCCCTTCTGAAGCAGCGGTGGAGCAAGCAGACTGCAGGGCCGCATGGTGCTCTGGGCTGCTCCGGCCAGCTTTATAAAGTGAGCTGGGAGGCTGGCAGGGATCCCAGTGACGAAACACTGGAATGAGGTGGCTCCTTGTTCCTCTGCCTCTCGTTGGGCTTTTCCTGTATTGGTGTTTCTCTGGCACTTCTGGGTCCATTTGCTGTTTTGGAATGTATCAGCGTTAACTGCCTACTCTCTTTCAAGACTGGAAAGCTCAAGATCTCTGTGAAGATCCAATACTTGTGTCTGTGATTTGGAGCTCTGAAGTTTATTTAATGGTCTAGAAAATTGATTCAAGTTTAGTTTTCCGAGCTCTACCTCCAAAACCTAAAGAACACTAGGAAAGTTTCTGAAAGTCACTGAACACACACACACACACACACACACACACTCTCTCTCTCTCTCTCTCTCTCTCTCTCAGACACACACACACACACACACACACACACACACACACAGAGCTGTCGCTGTGAGAGGCCATGGAACCAAGCATTTAAACCAGGTGTCTATATTCTCCTGTGTCTGCTCAGCTCAAGAGGAATGGCTTGAATAGTGCACTTTGTGGAGATGGCTGAAGGGGAATTTGATGATAAACTATAAGGCCTCCCTCTATTAGGGCTCTGTGAATGCATCAAGAATTGCATTCTTGGAAAATACCTTAGAGTGGAAAGAAAATTAAAAACACGAATTACTTCCACATAAATCAATGTAATACATCAACAATAGACATTTTTTAATTCCCCACCATCTGGTATTTTTTTCCTTGAAGCTGCTCCAAACACATTAAATCATGTTTCCAAGTGAATTATATAAGTAACAGGAATATAATGAAAGGCTCCATGTAATTATTCTTAGCTTAATGAACAGCTTTACCAACAAGTGCTGGGAGTGGATGTTTTGCATCATGAACAATGCACTTTACAACAGGTGTAACCAAGACAGAGAGTTAGACCGAGGTGAAGGCTTCTGGATATTCCACTTGTGGATCCTGACGGCCAGGTGCAGGTGAAGTCAGTGGTTGCAGATCTGAAACGTTTGAAAGCCTATGCTCATTTTAACCCTTCTCTTTCCTTTTCCTTTTCTCTTTCCTTCCCCTTTCCCTTCCCTTCTTCCTCTCCTATCCTCCTCTCCCCTTCCTTTTTCCTTCTTCCTTCCTTCATGAGAAAATCAATTAGGAAAGATTCATTTTGGATCATGGTTTCAGAGCCATGCTCAGTTAGCTCCACTGCTTTGGGCCCATGGCAAGGCAGCATCCACGGTGGAGCAAATCTTCTCATCTCACGGTCGGAAGGCAGAAAGGAACGAGCTGGGCTGCAATGTACCCTTCAAGGGCCTGACCCCAGCAGGGTACTTCGTCTAATTGAGCCTCATCTCCTGGAGTTCCCAGGACCTTCCAATTGCATCATCAGGGGGGATCAGGCTTTCAACAGTTGCACTGTAGGGTGGGTGACATTCCAGATCTGACCTATGACAGGATTCGAATGCACTTGAGGGCACTGTGGAACAGGCAGAGCTTCAGATCCCAGTGCCACCACCTTATCGTCTGTGTGATCTTGGGCAAGGCACCTCTGTGAGTCTTTTGTCATCTTGGCAACTAATGGGGCTGAGAGACCTTAGTTTGCAGGGCTGTGATAGGGATTACTCAGGTCCTGAGCATAATGCCTAGTACTTCATAAGACCCTCCCCGTTCATCACAATGTTACAGTTTATGGAATGCCAAGTCAATGCGGAGCCTAAGAGGAAGCATAGAAGTAAGACTTCCTCCCACTTTATGGATCATTGAAAGTGAGCCTGAAAAAGCTAAGTGGCTTTGTTCAGCATCACTAAGATCCCAGGGGCCTAAGTAGAAGTTCCTGTATAGTTTTGATTGACTCTAGAAAACCTGGGCTGTGAAAATATGCTTTGATTTGAATACAGAAAAACAATGATCTTTGATGATTAATCAAAAAATGCTCTTTGCCATCATCCTAAATCCTTTACTGCAAGAAAAAAAATTGCAAGTTATAAAACCATTGTAGAAAGCTAAGGATTTTTCTTACATCTTTGATCTGTGCTGTGCTCAAACGAGATTGATAAGGACAAGGTGTCTTTTTTCTTCGAAATAAATCTATATTGTTTTCAGCCTCCTTTTTCTTTCTGGTAAGACCTCTGAAACCTTTTTGATTTTTTTTTTTTGTGTGTGCTCAATCCTAAATCCCATGTTTTCTTCTTTTTAAAATAAATTAGTAGAGTTTATTTTTAGAGCAGTTTTAGATTTATGGATACATTGAGCAGGAAGTACAAGGGGTTCCCGTATGTTCCAATATTCGCACCCCAGAGTTCCCCATACCATTTAATATCTTGGGTCATTGTGGCATACTTATAACAACTGATGACCACCCATTTATATATTAGTGTGAACTGAAGTCCATAAAGAGCAGTGGGATTCACTAACAGTGGACGTTTCAGTGAGTTTGGACAAGGGTATAATGTCCTATTACAGTATCAAACAGTATGGTCTCACTGAAGACCGTACTTTTTATTTTTGATAAAACATGTGAGAAATGATCTTTTCTTCATCTCTTCTCAGGGATGGTTCTTAGGAGTCTCTGCTGCCAGCTTTAATCTCCTACCATCCCTCAATAGATATCTTATTCCTTTCAGCTTCAGATTCTCGAGCTGGAACACCGCCCAGTTGGATCTCCTCCCTTTACATCCACTCTTCCAGTTCCCCATTTGACTGTTCTAGGTGGACATCTCACCAACATTTCAAAGCCATGATGCTTGAGAATTAAAATTTGGATTCCCTCCCCACTAACGTGCTATGAGTTTTTAAAAGTCTAATTGTCCCCCAAGTCTTTCCCATCACAGCTAATGCCTCCATCATCCACTCAGCCAGCCAATTCAGAATCTTGGGGGTGATCTCTGAGGCCTTGTCCTTGTTGTCAAGCACCCCTTCCACAACCTCATCAGCAGCACATGCTGTGGGTTCTTCTCCCAGACACTCATTGACTGGTGACTTTTTTTCTCGCCTGCCCTCTTCCCAACCTAAGTCGCCAAGAGCTCTTCTCCGAACCCATTTTATCTCAGCACCTGCCCAACCTGAATGAATGTTCATTGTTCATCATTGTTGTGATTGTCACTCTCCTATTGAGAAATCCTCTGAATCTTTCCATTGTGCCTACAATGAAACCAAACTTCTCGTCATGGTTGGGAGGCACTCCTGACTGTGAGATCTTACCTGGTTCTTACCTGGTGACTTACTTTCGCCAGCCACAGACACCTTGTGTCACTTTGGAGTCATATCTAAGTCTGTTCCCTGCCCCTGCTTGACCTTTCTGCAGGTTTTTTCTTTGTCCTGCTGCCCTTCTTATCCCCTAAACTTGAACTCTTGGTGTGTATTAGTTGACTATAGCTGACCGTTTGTTGTTTTTCAGGTCCGAACTCTGCACCACCTGCTCAAACATGCGTTCTCTAATCTAGGAAGGACCTCCTCTGCCATTTACCACCAAACTACCCTCCTTCCTTGATAACTCATATCACAATTTGGTGTCTTTAATGACTGGCTTACTTGCCAGGTGTTGGCTGTAAACTCCTGGAGGGTTACGGATGTGTGGGGTTAGCTCAACTGTGTCTGTACTACAATACTGGACTCATGGTATTTCCTTAAGAAGTCTATACAGATGTGTGACAGGACAGCTTTGCTGTTTCCTTCTAATCTTACCTCCTCTCAGAGGATCCAGCAATAATACAACAGGCCATCAAGGCATATGGCAGTACGGCTCATGGCAGGACAATGAGACCAAGCCTCACTGTACGTCGGCCCTTGGAGTCACGCTAAGAAACTGGCCTCCTCAGCTCTGGGGAAGTTCTCAGTGTCCTGCTGGTGCTTGGCTCAGAGGAGACAGAGAGGGAAACTTTCCTTTAACTTTTCTTCATCCTGCAGAGATTCCAAATCCAGCCTATGGCCTTTTGGAGAAAAAGCAGAGGAAACCAAGTAAACTAAATAGCTGACATGATTGGTCAAAAGAAGAGGAAGTAGGATAGGGGTTTGAATGAGGCATTGGATCCAAGTACCTTCTCCGTTAGGGATCTGTATCTCTGTTGCAAATGCTGAGTGACATCAGATGTGGCTTGTCCCTTCAAGTGAGTTCCTGCTCCTAAAACTTCAACAAAAAAGCTCATATGATAGCATTGATCTGGAAAAAAAATTACATCAAGAACTACACACACATGGAAGATAATGGGGCTGCTGGCTCCTTTCCCATCTTGTCCTGGGGAAAGGTGCCTCCATCTGCCTAAAGGCCAAACAGTTTCTTTTTTTCTGGAGCGGGATGATGTCAGTAACTTGTCTGCTGGACTTGGGTTGGATCTGGCGTTCTGAAAGGTCTATTTAAGAAGAAGCACACATTTATAGTCAGGGAATAGGGACTATGCAAATACTGCCTTTCAACAAAAAGCATTTTATTGATGGGGATTTTAAAACTGTCACCAGGGTCTTATTTTCTTAAATAAATGTCTGCCTGCAACACATTCCTCGGCTACTCTGTGTAATTAGTGTGTTTATTCCACTGGTTGCTATTTTAAAGTTCCTCTAATCTGTTTTCCAGAGTCTCGAATTCTAACCAACAAATCCATCCGGCCTCATTGCTGCTTGTCTATTAATATTCACAGCTGAACACATTCGAAAGTGGTGTTCAGAGGTTCAAGGACAGTGTGTAGGGGAGGTCACGGGACTGAACTTGGATATGGCACAAGCAAGCTGAAATGCATGGAGGAAAGATTTACAGGACATGTGCAAAATTGCTTTATTTCAACTATGGTTATTACTCATGGCTGTGACTGCTGAAAATGTCACAGAATTTGAAGAGAGAGCTGGTGACAGGTTTTAGCAAAGAGGCTCAGTGGGGTGACACTGACTAGGACAAAGAGCAAGAACACTGATAGTTTGAGATTAACATTTGAGATGTTGCTGGCCAGTCATCTGACAGTGGTCAGACTGTCATCTCT